GGGGGCAGCGGGAGAGGGTGGGAAATGGGAGGAGTGGGGGTAGCGGGAGAGGGTGGGAGATGGGAGGAGGGCGGGCAGCAGGAGAGGGTAGGGGATGGGTGGAGAGGGGGCAGCGGGAGAGGGTGGGGGATGGGAGGAGAGGGGGCAGCGGGAGAGGGTGGGTGTGGCTAACAGTGCTGGGGACACAGAGAGAGGAGGAGATGGGGGCGACTTGCTGGACAGCTAGTCTGACCAATTCGCAAGCTCCAGATTAAGTGAGAGACCTTGTCTCAAAAAATGAAATGGAGGAGGATAGATGAAGACACCTGGCATCAACTTCTAGCCTCCACACTTACACATGGGCACACGCATGTCCTGCATACGTGTGTGCACACACACACCACAAGAAGGAGGAGAAGAGGAAGAAGATGACACACAGAATTACCAAGAACTGAATCAGACGCTTGGTCTGAATCTTGGCATTTTCATCCGCTGGGTGGGAGTGTGTAGAGTTTTATAACACAGGGGCCTAGGATCATTTAAGAGATATCCAGTACACTATGTAAGCCAAACACGTGGTGACAGAGCGATGACTGGTTAGAACTAGTAAATCAGTCCCCTTTGTATCGAGGGAAGGTGAGCAGGAGGCGTTAGGAGGCTAACAGGCGGCGTGGCAGCAAAGGGCAGTGCTCCTTCCTAAGTCCCGCAGGATCGGCGTGAATGAATAGAGGGACTGCGTGCAAGCTTATCTGCTCAGCAGTTAGACACGGCCATTTCCCACTGAAGGTAGACTCAGAACCTGCAGGCAGAAAGAGGTTAAGCCAGGTGTAGAGTGAGCTGGAGGACTGGGGCCAGGGCTCATTAGAAATCTGGTATTTCAGGTTGGACTGGACTTTGGGAATGGCTGCTCCTTTGTTCAGGGGCAAAAGCACTTTAGATCTGGCTGCACTCTCAAAAGTGACTTGTGGAAAATGGATCCGCGGCTTTTCCAGAGAGAGAGGCTGGGCCTCCGAGCAGACACCAGCTCCCGGGCTCCCCAGGGCAACATTGTCCCGTGTAATTACAGTCAGCAGAGAAGTAACCTGAGCAGCCTACACCAGCCGGGACCCACACTCTGCGAAGGCAGTGTGGAAGCACAGGGCACGCCGGCTGCAGATCTCCACACAATAATGTATGCCGGCTGCAGATCTCCACACAGTAATGCATGCCGGCTGCAGATCTCCACACAGTAGTGCACATGTCTGCAGATCTCCACACAGTAATGCATGCCGGCTGCAGATCTCCACACAGTAGTGCACACGTCTGCAGATCTCCGCACAGTAGTGCATGCCGTCTGCAGATCTCTGCACAGTAGTGCACACGTCTGCAGATCTCCGCACCGCTGTCTGACTACTTTCAGGGTCACATATTCCCTTTCCCTTTCCTGTGAGATCAGTGCTAAAGCAAAGTGATGTGGACGTCCCTGGTTCACTGTCAAATCTTTCCCCTCCACTGTGATGTTTTGAAATCCCTACATTTCCATTTCCTCAGCTTCAACACCCAGCACCATTGTGTCATGAATTCCTTCCTGTAGCAGCTTCTCTTCAAAAGTTGCTTCATGTTACCTGTGACTAATTGCCTAAATACAAACAAACAGCATGTGAAACAAAACAACGCATGCCCCTCCTCTCTTGGGGCACATTTTGTTCCAGCACAGAGAAAAAGGAGTGGAGAGCACTGCTCCTTCCCACCTCCACCCCCACGTCCCTTCAGAAACAGAACACAGCCGCCTGGTCCCTCTCTTGCTCTACGTGTGTCAGAGCGCGTGTGAACTGAACGGACTGGGACTCACTAGGAGCTCCGACCTACCTTTCATTTGCTTGTGCTTTGTTCTGGAAACGTCCATGAGTTGTAATTTACTCTAGAGCCAGCTCCTGGGTGTCGGGTGTTTCTTCCTTCTGCCAATTCCTCAGCCAAGCCACAAAAATAAAACGACAGGAGACTAGCTTGTGGGAAATAACAAATTGTATTAGGTTTCTAAGTTTTGCAGAGTACACACATATACACACGCACACACACATAGATACATACAGACACACATGTACACACACGTACACACATACACATACATAGACAGACACAAATACACACACATAGACACATATACATGCATACACACAGATACATACACATACACACATGAACACACACAGACACACATATACACACATACACAAAATACACATCACATGCATACATATATATACACACATACCACACAACATACACACACCACACATGTATATGCACACATACATACATATACATACACACACATATACACACATATATATGTATGCACAAACATACACACATATATACACCACACAATATGCATGCCCATATACACATACATATATACATACCACAATATATATTTACACACCACACACATATATGTACATGCATACATACATACACATATACTCATCACACACATACACTATACATACACACATATACACATACACACATATATGCACATGACAACATATGCACACACATACACAAATATAAAGCTCAAAGCGGTGCAGGCTCCATAAAACTAAGCGAAGCTTCTGGAGGAAGGAAGTGATGCAGGCAGGACAGGGAAGGCTGTGGACGAGGTTCCCTTGGGTGCGGTGAAGTCCTGAGGTGGCAGCCACCTGGGCCAGTCTGTCTGGGTAGGTGTCAGAGTCCTTTTCTTCTTCCCGGGAAGTTTATTTCCTAGGTAGAGGACAGACAGCAGATGGGACGGGCTCAAACATTTTTACAAGAGAACAGCTTTTGTCTGTCTGTCCCTGCAGCTTCTCTGGAAGATAAGGAAAGGTGTTTGGGGGAGGGATATTTTGAGCTCCCTCCAGTTACAGAGCCTGCCCTCAAGGCAGGAGGGGAAGAAAGTAGATGGGAGGAAGGACTGGCTGGGTAGGAGGGAAGAGAGCTGATCAACGTGATGTGAATTACATGAGGGTTTCCAAAGACCCACCAGTAGACTCAGCTCTTCCCAGCTGGGCAGACCGCAGCTTACTGTCTGGTTCTGTCCTGTCCGCCTGTGAGATGGCTGGACCCTCTATCATCTTTCTTGTTTAGGTGGTTGGATGACTTAATCACAAAAGCTTGAGGAAAAGAATGCCAGAGTAAAGAAGACACTTAAGTACAAACACATAGCGGTACCACATACCTCCTGCTGTAACCGTCTGAGCAGCCATGGGCACTGACCTGCCGACCCTATCCCCGCGTCCTCCCTGTCTCCTCCCTGCCTCCTCCAATTCACTTTTCTCCATGGAGATCAGATTCTACAGAATGCTGCTCTTGTTGTTCCTTTTGGAGACTACAGCTCCCAGAACCCTCCTGGATTATGGACACCAAGCCGCAGGCTCAAGGACACTTCTCCCAGATACCCTTGCGTTTCCCGTTAAAAGCAAGTTTCCATGAGCCCCTGCCCTCTTTTTCCCCTTCCACCCTCCTGTGTCAGCACACCTGCACCTTACCTGTCGCCCCTCCCCCATTAAAGTGCACCCACGTGGGACCGCCGCGTGTCTGCGTCTCCTTTCCACCCCGTTCCACCGTGCGTGTTTCGTCTGTCTCGTGTTTGTCTCTACCCTCCACACACACCCGCTTTAAAAAGAATAATAGCTTTGAGGGCTGTGGCTCAGCGGTACAGCATGGGGTAGCGTGGGTTTCATCCCTGTACACGCACGCACTCACACACCTGACTATGCTGTCTCTGCTTGTCAATCTGAAGCGACTTCTCTGCGCAGTTCAAGTCCATGGTCTTCTGTGGCCTTAGCTTGCTGCTCTCACCTTCTGGCAGCTTCCCTCGCCAGGCCTTTAGTGTTGTGCTGAGCTGACGGCTGGGGAGCTGCAACATGGGTCTCCCAATCCAGACCTTACACTGGTTTCAAATGTCAATGAGTCGTGGCCCATGGGTTGAGAGCCCCTGCTGCAATCCATCCCTCACTGGTGGATGCAGACTGAGGAGCTAAGATGTGTTGTCGGCCTCTGGCCAGTCAGTCAGACACACAAGGTTTCTTGGCTGTGCGTGAGTTTTCCTCCAACATGGGCGTTCTTTACATTGCTATGTCTTTTGAGTCCACTTTTTTTTTCTGTTAAAGCTTTTTCCTAGGTAGTTACTTATTTTTTAGTTCATAAGCTGTGCTATGTCCATTTTGATGAGAGAAACGTCATCTTGACTATCTTTCCTCCTCAGCAGACTTCCCCCTAGTGAGGTAGACGGACAGGCTGTTCTTGTGTCAATGTGATACTGTTAATTTTGATACCGTTAATTTCTTATTTTCCCTCTTTTAACTTTAAATTTCTCTTATTCTAGCAACTAGCTTTTTAAACAAAACAAAACATTGTGTGTGCACATTCATACATATGTGCTTATGTGCATGTGTGTTGTAGAGAGGCGCTAGTTAGTTCCCGGCTGCTCAGCCCTGAAATAATCACACAGAAGCTGTATTATTTAAATCATTGCTTGGCCCGTTAGCTCTAGCTTCTTATTGTCTAACTCTTACATATTAATTTAACCCATCTTCATCAATCTGTATATCGCCACGTGGCTGTGGCTTACCCACTGAAGTTCTGGCATCTGTCTCTGACTCCACCCTCTTTCTCCCAGCATTCAGTCTAGCTTTTCCACCTAACTAAGTTCTACCTTGCTATAGGCCAAGCCAGTTTCTTTAACCAATAAACGCAACACATAGACAGAAGGCCCTCCCATATCACACGTGTGTGCATGGAGGCCACAAGTCTGCCACACCTTGCTTTATTCATGGGTGCTAGGATTAACTCAGGCCTTCATGCTTTTAAGGCAAACCCTCTGCCCCCTGTGCCACCACCTTAGCCCTGCTCATACCCTTTTCTATCTTTAAACCATCACCCCTTCTTCTTACCGCAACATCTTAGCCTGCTCAGAATCCTGGATTTGACCCCAAGCAGTCCTCTGAACCTTCAAAGCCAGCAAACAAAGACACTTAAAGAAAAATTACTTAAAACCATGTGCTCTGGTCAAAACATTTCCTTCCTTCCTTCCTTCCTTCCTTCCTCCTTCCTTCCTTCCTTCCTTCCTCCTTCCTTCCTTCCTTCCTCCTTCCTTCCTTCCTCCTTCCTTCCTTCTTTCCTTTCTTCTTCCTTCCTCCCTTCCTTTCCTTCTCTTCCCTCCCTCCATCTGTCCTTCTTCTCTTTCTTTTCTTTTTCTCTTCAGTTGACAATTGAACCCAGGGCCTCACACATGGTAGGCACGTGTCCTGGAGGCTGGTCTACATTGTGACAGGTTACATCAAATTTCCATCCAGGGGTTTTCAAGTGAACTGTGTTCTCAGAGGAAGCTGTTCTCAGTTCTTTCAGATGGACAGAGGGTGAGCATTAGTTGGGTCTCCCAGGTTTCTGAATTCTTTCTCAGCTGAGTAGCATTTGGTATTTCCTTTAACCCTCACAATCGGGAGGACAGTGAGATGTTAGGAAGTGGCCATCAGTATAAACAGGGAAAACCGTGCCTCTGACTGCTTCTGGACTGAGTATTAGTGAAAGTACAGGACTCAAAGAACAAAAGAAATACATTCCAATGATGTTTGCCGCTTAGCCACTTGTATATTGTGTCCAGCCTTATAAGGCCAAAGCCGAGCGCTTAGTATGTGTGTGGGGGCAGAGCTGGGGTAAGGGGAAAGGCCAGAGAAACAAACTTGGAAGCCAAGAGAGCTCAGATGTTTTCTCAGCTGGGTGTCTGGAGGGCAGAGAATGATTGGTCAGGACATCCCTGGTGCTGGCCCGAGGGGAGTCTGCCCCCAGCTACTCTGTTGTACGTCCCTGTTAATCTTGTTCCCACTGCCCGAAAGCACACGTGGGTTCTCTGCATCTCCAGAGCTGGTCAAGAGTGGCTCCTCTCCCCTCGGTGACTCACAGGTTGCAGGTAGCCATGACTAATACCCCAAGGCGGGTGTGTGTGTGTGTGTGTGTGTGTGTGTGTGTGTGAGCATCCTCTCCCCTTCCCTCAGACTTCTATGCTCTACACCAGGGTTGCTACCTGGATGGGGTAGCGGAGAAGTGGCTCAGGGTTAGACACAGATAGTTCCACTGGGTTTTCAGAAACCATGCTTTTCAATTGCTACTAAAGAAAAAAATCTCCTAAGACATGGTTAATCTTAGCTTCAAGCTTCTAACAGCCTGACACAGTTGAATTTGTCTCTGTTTAAAATTCCTTCACAGGCCATCATCCCTTGGTGCCTCAGGGGTGGGGTAGGAAGTGGCTACCAATAGTCACATGCTCGGATCCCTTAGACAAGATGGCGTGGTGTTTCATAAAATCTGAAGGTGACTGCTATACTATTACTGTTTAGGGAGTATTAGTGAGGAAAAGCGCGCATGCTCAATGTAGACATAAGTACCCCCAAATCTCTGTCTGAAGTTGTTTGGAACCGTGGACGTAGACTTGGTGAGGAAAAGTTGCGCATGCTCAATGTAGCGCGCCCACAAATCATCTCTGAAGTTGTTTAGAACCACGGACTATGGATGTAGAGCCCGCAGTACTGAGTGCTGGCTCTTAGGGTTATGCTAACACTGACTTTATACCCCGGGATGTAGCTCACAGCTACTCTCTTAGAGAAGAAAGGTTGGGGTTAACTCGAGGCCCTGGTTTTGTTTGCTCCTCCTTCATGCTGAGGACGAAGCGGGAGGCCTGTATAGAAACGACATCCATGACAGGCTCTTGCTTCCCTCCTTCTGCCCGTGCCAAACCTCTCCTTCCCGCAGAGGCCCTCGCTGCAGGTGGCTTGCTCTAGAGACAGGGTGACGTGCTGTTGCTGGCCCCAGCACGTGCCGCCTTAGCGGCCCTAGTTCAGGGTTACCGCTGGAGACTCCCCGACCTGTAAAGCCGCAGGAATAAATACCGTTCAAACACAGCTCAGAGGAAGCAGAAATTGCTTACTGTAGGGCCTGCCTGCCTCTCTCAGCCTAGTGTTTTTCTTAGTTTTAGGACGAAAGCAAAACAAACAAAACGGGTCTATAAATAAGCGGCCTCTGGTTCGCCATTGTCTGCTCTTTCCCAGTCCAGTTCATTCAGGGTGTCGGGCTCACACCGCGTGGGCTTGGGCACGCGTGGGCATCACTGACCCAGGAAGCTCCGTCGAGAAGCCGGACTGGGGCTCTGCTTTCAAATGCAGAGAGGGCAGCAGGATGGTGACACAGGGCCCAGATATGAGTCATTTGTTCTGGGCCTTGAGGAAGAATTTGAAAAGTCTGAGCGGAGTCAGGAAGAATGCCAAGTTGATAGGCTAAGTAGAGCAGGGTGTGAGCTTGACAAAATGTGGGGTCACAGCCGAGGCCGCCGGGCTGCGGGCAGGCCATTGTTTTGAAAAACAACTGCCACATTAGATGGGCTAGGCAGCCAAGGAGGGGTTTGCCAAGGGCCAGGCTGGGCTCAGACGCCCTCCTTGGCTTATGGTGAGGACTCCTTAGGACTCCCTGCATGGCTTGTCTATTCCTGGTGGTGTTGGAGGGTGCGGAGGCGGGAGACTGGTAAGACAGTGTCCCGGCCACGTGTGTGGAAGCTTCACTGTTTTGTCCTGGAACGGCTTTGTTTTCAGGAAAGATGCTGGCCGTATTTTTGAGAAACGATTTGGAAGTCGGGTTGGGGGAAATCAAGTCCTTCCTGTAGGGAAGGATCCCAGACGACTTTACGGAGCGCTGAGAATGGACCCCGAGTTCTCTAAAGGAGGGTTTAGTTTGGGGGAACAACTGGGAAGGAGGAAAGTGTGGCCCAAGGGCAGGCAGGGAGCAAGTGTATTTCTCACCGACAGAGCTGCGGGTGCGGAGGAAGAGGCCAGGAGTAGAGACGGAGGGAAGGCAGAGGGAGAAGTGACTTTAGTGGACAGGGTGGCAGCGCAGTTTCCTGAGGTCACCGTGCCTAAGTGGTTGGCATACTAGGCTGCTCAGAAGCCCCCTTATGTGTGTCTCTGGCATGCTGGGATGGGTGGACTCCGCCTGTAATTCTGATTAGACCCTTGAAGGGAGGAGGGGGAGAATTAGAAAAAGCAAGCAGATGATCACAAGTTGGGAGTACAGGGAGGAAGTGACTGGGGGAGAAGCAGAAGGGAGCCACAGAAAGAGGTTGAGGAGAAGGAGGCCCAATGCTTCCTCGGAGGCCAGCAGCCCAGTAGAGGCTTGAGGAGCCGTCGGTGAGAAGATCTGTCCCCAGTCCTCTTAGCCCCACCTCCTCCTTCCGGGAGGCAGAGTTTGAGGAGGGTGGATGTTTCCTGAATCCCTTCCAAGACTGACACTGTGCACTCGCAGATGTACAGGTGAGAAAAAGTGACGTGGGCTTCACTCTCGTGGACGTGGATGCGGGGGGGGGGGGCAGGGGGGAGAGGCACTGGTATGTGGGCTTCACTCTCATGGATGTGGACATAG